CTCTCTCTCTCTCTCTCTCTCTCTCTCTCTCTCTCTCTCTCTCTCTCTCTCTCTCTCTCTCTCTCTATCCGCGGATGGACATGAAAGTGCGCGCCAGTCATGATCTCTCGCGGATGGCTTTTGCTATCTCCAGCAGGGCGTTGCACATCATTCTATTCGCCTCATCCGCCGCTGTATAGTGTTTCCTCTACACCTCCACCTCGCTCTCCAGGATTTTACACTCCCGTGACATCATAGAGCATTGCCGCTTGCTGGCGCTGTCCATTGTGCTCGCCATGAGCGCACCATGCTTCTCCATGACGTCGGCGACAGCTTCAAAGGTTTGTTGCCGCATGTTCTTCCTCTTTTCATAACCGCCGCCGCTTCCCGCGCTGAATGACGAGTCTTTCGTCGACCCCTGCTCCTCGTCTGCCATCTCCCCTCCACCATCTCCGCCCATGGTGCCCCCACCCCTCCCCGCGCCTGCGGGCATTTGAACCCCCCCCGCCGCCCCAGTGTCCGCCAAATTTGCCGGGTGGATCGTGTGATCCCCCTTCGTCATGGCCTCCATTTCGTCGTACACGCTCCGGTCCATGACGAAGCTGAAGCCCTCCGATCGCCTGTCCCTTGAAGCAAGCCTGAAATAGTCCTTCCCGCCAGAGAGGTTCTGAAACTTGTGCACCTTCTTGAATTGCTGCATCAAGTTGTCCCATTTCTTCCCGCAGTCGACGGCATCCCTCGTCACTCCCATCGCTTGCAACCTCCCCCGCATATCCTCCCACTTCCACGCGGTCGTTTTCATGCGGGTGAAACTAGTCCCCAGCCCGGCGATATACAGATCTTGATCCCTTTTCGCCCTCACGAGCGCGACATTGTCTCCCACCGACCAGAAATTCCGGCTGCCCTCGCCATCGTCATCCATGTTCTTTGTCTGTCTCGGTTTCGTGGCGGGGCCCTTCTTAGCACCGGATCCGCCTCTCGTCGCCCTCCTCCCAAGCGGCCTGATGTCTGGTAAATCGTTGGACTTGCAACCGTCGTCGTCGTCCACGTCGTCACACCCCTGCCCCTCATCAACGGCCGTGTCTTCCACTTCGCCGACGTGCAGCCATTGCACCCCTCTGGTGATTGTCTCCGTTTCACCTCGATGCAACTCCTGCCTGCATTCTGCCCAGACCTGCCTGCCGTCGCGTTGCACGTCTGGAACTCCCCCAATCAAATCCTCCGCCGCCTGCCGCCCTCGAGTAGCGCCGGGTCCGCTTCGCACCGCAGGCGACAAGCGCATCCAGTCCGGTCGTTTACGCGCACCGACTCCTCCACTGACGCTCGGCGACGAGTTATTACGATCACCTCCACCGTCGCGAACCGATTGAGGCAGACCGCCGTCTCGTGGGCCGCAGACAGCACCTTGCATGTTTTCCGCGCAATCCCCACCCGGGTGGGGATTGATGATCCGAGTGTGCGTTGCGGCTGCTCCGCTGCTGCTCGACAGATGAAAGCTCAGATCGACCGCTGCATCGCCGTCGTCATCGCACAGCCCCTCGTTAAGAAGTGACGTGTAAGACCACGGTGTCTCCACCCCCCTGCCGCCGCACGATTGCGTCGCCGCCCAGTCCTGCGTAGAACCGCTTCCCAACGGCAAAGTCGGCGACCTGGCTTCCCCCCCCTCGTCATCCGACGGCGGCAGAGGAATCTCGTGAGAAGGCAGGTGCGCATACAACCTCGGGTCGTACGGCTGCTTCGCCACCGACCCCGCACTGCGTTGGCGATTGATAGATCCGCCGGATGTGCCTGTCGGTCTGCCGTTCGGCAGCCGTCCAGCCATCTTGTCAGCCTTCCTAGGAGATCTCCTTCTGCGAGACGCGACCGGGACGAAGCCGACGAGACACACGTGGTAGAAGACAACGGCGAGAAGCAGCAAGACGACAAGGAACAGCAGGGGAAGCCTGTGCAGCAGGTCGGCCATGTAAGGGCCGTTCGAAGGGGAGGAAACCGACGTCGGTGGTGGACCGTTCAACGAACAAGGTCGTCGAGACAAGGAAGATCGGTGGAAGATCTGTGCTCGAACGTGCGAGGCGTGACGGCAGTGGAAGAAAACGACGATCCTGTTGAACGACTGTCGTCGCCGAACGGGGAGCCGTGTACAAAAACTTTCGAATTTCGGACTGTTGTCGACGATCGCCCGCCGGGGCAGACCGCACGACGGCAGTGGCCGTCGAGTCGCGCGGACGGATGGAGGCCTCGCGCCGCCGGTTACCGTTTGGAGCCGTTGGGACGACGAGCAGACTTTCGAGGCTCCGTGCTCCCTTTCGGCAGACCACGTCTGGACCACCCTCCAACCGAAATTGTGCGTCGACGCATGCCTTCGTCGCTCCGAGTTTCGCGCTTCCTTGTGTTACGAGGGACATCGGGAGGTCCCTTGGGGTTTAGGGAAAATTGGCTGTGGCCACAAGGACGCCACAAGGAAACGTCCTTGTGGTGTTTTCACTTTTTTTTTCGACGATCGTCCCCAAGGATAGGTGTAACGATTATTTCCTTGTGGATTTCGGGTCCACAAGGAGTGTCTAACGAGGCCCTTAGTCTATTTCTGCAATTACCCCTTGTATAATTAATACTTGTTGGACGCTGGACCCGGTTTCCAGCAGGTGCAGCTCCCCACCAATAGATCGGAGCTTTAAAAAAAAAAAGGTAACTTCAGTAGAGTCACAAGCACGGGTTAAAATTGCACTATGGGGCAAGATACCGTTTGCAATTGCACTTCGGGCACCCTACCTGGCCATGCCAACTGACATTTCGTTAAACGTGACACTTTTTTTCTAAATTCACAAAATTGAGCGTACGAAAAAACAACATTTTTTAGTGTTTTTTTGTCCCCATGACGTCAGATGATCAGATCATCGGGTGTTGTGGTGACTCCGGATGATCTGACCATCGGATGCATGTTAACGGTACTTGACATTGAGGTGCATCAGATGGACAAAGTGAGATAACCACTTTCTCACCCGATGAGCAATGAAATTTTGACTAGTAAGTCCACTTTCGTGAATTTGGAAAAAAATGTCAGTATTAACGAAATATCAGTTTGCCTCTATTCATTGCCCGAACTGCAATTCCAAACTGTATCTTGGCCTGTAGTGCAATTATAACACTTTTTTTGTGACTCCCGCGTAGTTTCCCCTAAAGAGAAGAAAAAAAAACAAGGCCTGGCATTTGGAGATGGTAGGCAACACAACACGGCATGAGCTTTGAAGAAATTGAAGTGTTTCGCGTCAGCCGGACTGAGTCCTCACAAACTGGGCTGCCCACGCCTGGCCACAATGAGGGCCATAAATTGGAAACCTCACCACTCTCGTCACCAGCCCACAGCTTTACATGACACCAACATGCAGATCTGGGGTTAACTCTCTCCTGGAAGACCTATCCCCCCCCCCACAACCACCACCACCCACTCCCCCCAAAATGTTCAAGGGGGAAATGGTTTCAGCTTCCAGAATCAAGCTGGCTGCAGCAATGGCGACATGCAGGCTATTGTCTTCACCTGAATAGAACGCCTGATCATTAAAGCTGGGCAACTTTCAGTCTAGATACAGTGATAATCACCTGTTCTGCGGTTCGTGTTCATGTTTTGAACGCGGTGAACGCGCATTCAATGAATGTGACTAAACGCGTTTGACGTGTTCGTGCAGGCCCCCAAACGTGTAGGCGGAGGTGTTTCTGGCGGGCGGGTGTGGGATGGGGGCCGTGTGTGTGTGTGTGTGTGTGTGTGTGTGTGTGTGTGTGTGTGTGTGTG